CTAATCAGTGCTCTTTCCACATCGCTGATGAGAACAGTAATGACATCGTAGCGGAAAATGTCCCTTTCTAATCATTATTTTGACGTTTAAGCAAATTTGTGTTTATACGTTGACATGGTCCACACCAACTACGGACATCTTTAGAAATGCTAAGTAAGTTAATGGGATGGAAATGCAGTACGTAACTACTCCATATTTGTTTTCCTTTATATTTTCTTCGTATTTTTGTTGAGCAAACGCGAGGTGTTACTATTCTTTGTCCACGATTAAGCTGACGTTTCGGCGGATTTCGCCTTCTTCAGAGCCTGGAAAGGTCAAGTTGATAGCAATCTGATAGCACCAGACGCCTCCATAACCAAACAAAGAAACTCCAAACCAAGATTTCAATCACTTTGAACACAGCTTTGCACACTCACCGCCTTCTATGAGGCTTCCACTAAGTATGTCACGTAGAGACCAACCGCACAGAAATCACGTGGAAGTGTAATGTGCCCCTCACATCAGAAAAGCAGTTTTATATACTGCCCTATATCACGCGTGATAATGAGGCATTCTTTCCTGCGGTTCATTTTCGGATTTCTGGAATTAATCCAGAGTGCCTCGAGAGTTTTTCGCGCCTGTGTTCTTGATTCGCGTGCGAGGATCGTGACACATACTTCAAAGTCCTCCCTGTTATGTCTCTGGGTCTTAATCGTGCCTAGTGGGGTATTTGGTCTATGTTTGCCGGCTAGGTGTTCCTTTATGCGGACACAGAGGGGCCTGCCCGTTTCGCCAATGTATTCGTCTCCGCACGTCTTACAGGAGATCAGATGAATTATACCCGAGCTCATGCAATCACCGTCTTTACCATTGGGGAAAATTATGCAATTTTGCGTTGCACATAGGTTATATAGTCGGTTACGAACTAGCTAGCGCCCAAGATTACTCGGTGGCATTTCAACCACGTTTACCGAATTCTCTGGACCCGCCCTTCTTAAGTAGCGTTTTATAGCTTACTTACATCATTTGGGATGAAGGGTAGGATAAACGGGACCCTTCCATCGCTAGAGTTGCCGTTTGGAGGCCTACGATTTTCCCTACACCTATCCTGAGCCACAGTTTCGTAGCCATTAGAAATGGCTATTTGCCGCGGCAAGTTCCGGAACTCCTCTCTCTGCTCTCTTCCCGTGCACACGTTGGTTGCTGTTCGAAACATGTTTCTTATAAGCGCCCTTTTCGTGTGAGAGGGGTGAGAGGAGAGGTAATGAACCAAGATATTTTTACTACTTGGCTTTCGGTACCACTTTGTAATGTAGCCATTTTCTGATAGGTGAATTTGTACGTTCAAAAATGGAAGCCATTTTTCTTTCGGCTTTTCTCGGGTGAACTTGATATACTCTGACTGTGCGTTTAACAATTCGAAGCATTTGTCTATTTCCTCTTGTGTTGAGCAAAGGACAAAGCAGTCGTCTACATACCTGCAGTAGAGTAGCGGCCCGAGATCAGTCACCGGTGCTTCCACCTTAGACATAAATGCAATGGCAAGACTTGGAGCCAGTCGTTGTCCCATTGCCCTCTTATTTGAGCGTAGTACTTTCCAGACCATCTGAAGATTGAGCAGCTCAAGCATTCTTTTAACAGTGCCATCAGGTGCTCTATCCTGAAGCCATACATGTTTATTTCTCCTTCGTGTTGTGTAAGGAGTTCGAATATGGCTTGCATTGCGGAGTCATTCGACACGTTTGTATAAAGGGCGGTAACGTCGAAGGACTCCATCACGCACGCGCTGTTGGGCTGCGCAGTACGTAGACGATCCAGAAACATCTGCGTATTCGTAAGATGGACTGGAATGTGTTTCAACAACTGGTTAAATATTAGGGTTAAAAACCATGTTATCCTGTCCGTTGGCCCGTCTACGCAGCTAATGATAGGTCTAACCTTAAATAGTGATGGATCGTTAGACGCAAGATCATCGCTGGATACTAACTTATGAGTTTTTATAAGTAAGTACACGGGGCATGTTGGTAAGGCAACTTTAAGTTGAAAGATAACTGATGGTTTCAAACCAGCAGCCCTTGCCATTTCGGCCCATTCGTGGTTTAGTTTTCGGTATTTACTTTTGAATTCTTCCTCAGATGGTGGGCGATAAAGCGAAACATCTTCAAGATGCTTTTTCGTTATCTCCACATCTAACTGATGAGGAATTACGACAAACTCTCCACCCTTATCACTAACGGAAAGTCTTATGGCTTTCAACCTTATCGGGTCTTGTTTTTCTTTATTTTATCTTTACACTACCCGTCTTCACATCTACTGCGCGGATCCCAGTACTCCTCAAATTCGATTAGTTTCCCACACTCCCACAGTTTCCCTCATCATTTACTAAGGTTTTCTAACTTTTACGGGTTCTTCAGTTGTTGCTTGAGGATTTTCATTTCATCTTGAACGTTGTAAAATGGTGGTCGAGTAGAATCCCGCTAGAGTCCTGAGAAAGCGGGGAAAGTCCGGTACCAATTTCCCGACCTCGGAGAGATAAGAGCCTGGGTGAGCCCGGAGTGGGATCGAAACAGCATCGTACTCGTGATGACCGGCATCACTTATATAATTCATGATAAATCGATCGATCGAAAACATGTGTATCGACCGCACTAAAACTAAGAGAACCCCTTTATCTGTACTCGGCATAGGCAGTAACCGGTTGATTTCCATGTTTGAAAAAACGCCTTAAGAGATCAGAAATGCGTCGAGGGATTCCAAATTTGCAGATAAACACCCTTTTCTTTTCTGCCTGCAACATGGTCCAAAGTGTGGTTAACTGGCAACAGCGAGGTGCTACACTTACGACCAGTTTCCGAGCCTCTTCTCCGCCCTTGTCTACGTGAAGAGGTAGACTAACATCCCAAGCACTTCAAGGGTGCAACCGAAGAGTGAAAAGCTGAAGAAAAGAAGATCAAATAAACTGCTTCATATTCATGTTTTAAATTTACGAATGGACCTTATGACATGGAAATTCATTGTATTTCATCAATCAACCAATCACGACTGATCCAAAGGTGTCGGAGTTGTTCTGGAAGGATTTTTGCGCCAGGTCAATAATCAACAAAGCTCCCTCCTCTGATCCAAAAGACAGCCTGTGGTGAGAAGCGTTAGGAACGGCCTAGCACGAATACATCAGTGCTCCAAGATGAGGCACGCCTGACGAGCGTTCAGTAAACCAGTGGTGTGAGGAGTCGACCGATCCCCAATCGGTAGCCGACAGCCAGATTCGCTCACGCCTAAGGAAAGTGCTGGTGCTCGGCCACATGTCATGTGGGGACAACCCATCAACGTAACTGCGTTTTATGAAACAAGTCTCAAAACTGGTAGGAACCACTTTCCATTCTGTTTGTGAGATTTTGTTGAATGCAGTAACCTCTGTAAACGAGTGACCAAGAAATTTACTAAGTGATTACAAAAGGCGGATGAGCACTGTCCTCGGAAAAATGATTAAATCTTGCAAAAATTCCCTTCCAGTTTTCAGTTAAAAGTGTAGACGACGCTTCTGACAGCAATACGACACCGTGCTCATACATTTACAAAGCACCAACAATAAGCAGCACCAAACTGCTTCTTGCGAAGGTGCGGGCAAACGCGACAACATGGACCGTGAGTCCATGAACCTACCGGGTACAGCGACTAGCCCCGGGGACAGACGGCTGCACGGGTCCCGGCCGGGCCGCGACAGACCGCAGAGAAGCAGAGCGAGCAGCCCGGCTCGGCCCGTCTCCGAGGCCCGGTCGATCATCGTCGTTGCGTCGCGTCCGCGTCAGCTGATCGCTGCGGCCGCATCTCTCCCGATGGCTTCCTTCTTCCTCCTTCCTCCTTCCTCACTCCTCCTCCCTCTGTCTCTCTTCCTCTCTTTCCTCCCTCTGGCCGTTCATCACCACCACTTCTTGTCAACGTCACAAAACGCAGGCGTTTAGCTTACCTCACTGGGGCTATGTGGTGGCTCTTCGTTTCCTATAAAATAGAGTTGAAATCTAGTGCTTGTCGTAAATAACCTCCAGAATTGTTTCACTGCAGAAAATATTATGCGAGCATTGAAGTCGTCGGCGAAATCTCGTTTACAGTTCTGTAGAAAAACGCCTCGGCCTAGCCCAGATGTAAAGAACCAGTAGAGGAGATCCTAGAAGCGCCCGTAATGTCTCCGGCAGGTCGTATCGTTTCGGTGTATAGCATTGTCGATCGTACTGTTACTGAAAACTAGCCCATCATTCGATGACAGTATTTCGAAACGAGATGTCCTCCAGGCAGAACATTCTAGAGCAACTTCATGAAAACGAACGGCCAACGAAGCAGGCTATTCAACGCTACAATTTCTTTACACAAGCCGGAATCCTGCTTCCACTCGGGGCTGTTTTTTTAAACTGTTGGTTAGAATCACCTTGTGCCGAGAGATGGCGTGTGGCTGTATGGCGTCCTTTAATTGTGTGGTGTATCCCGGTTGGATTCCTATCCAGCAGCACTTCCAACGACGGTTTCTCACTGCAGAATTTTGGAGTGCAAAGGGAGGGATGTGTGATTTTCCTAACCCTACATCTCCCATGTTATTCGTTCCATTCTTTACTATTGATTTTACTATTGATTACTTTCCTAAGGATGCTAATCGATAATCGAGCAGAGATCGATGATAGTCTCACTTACGTAGCCCAGTCTGTTTTTGACTCTGTGGATGTTTTTGCACTCATGTTTTCTTCCTTTTTTCTTTGTTTTCGATATTGCCATGAACCCCGTTAGTACATGTTTACTTCTATGTGGTAAAGCCATAGATCCGTATAGTTCACTATTTGTTGCTCTTTTTTTCGGAAAAAATTTGGTCCTGATTTTGTCCTTTTCCGTATACGTTCCATATCACCATTTTCACATGTATGCTCTCTGTTTTCAGTGGGAAAGCGGACTCTGTGAATTTCCTGAGTTGTTCGCCATAACATTAGAAGATCGGATAGGCGAAAGTTCCCCATCAACAAAGTGGAACGACCATCATGGATGGTATTGATCCAGACGTCCTACTGGAATGGTTACAAACAGGTATTGGAGACGAGCGAGATCTCCAGGTGTGTAGACGTTCCAACGATCATGATTTCTTTTCGTTTTCTTTTTGTCGTCTATTCTTCGGTTATTCAATTGTTCCAAATACTAGTTGCAACCTTAGATGATGGCTTTGGAGCAGCTGTGCATGTTGCTGTTAATGTCAGATAATATTGACCGATGCTTTGAATCGTGTCCACCACGGACATTTCTTCCAGCCCTTTGTAAAATCTTTCTCGATGAAACCGCAACTGAGGCTGTACTCGAGGTGTGTTCCTTAATTGATCATATCTTTTCCTTACCTTTTCACATAACGTCGAAGACCTAATTTTGCGTAGCTGCTACAAGGAACGTCGTCTCATGTTATGTCGCTACGGACTTGCGGGTTTTTCAACAATAAACGAGGATTTTTCGACAACTATAGGACTTGAGCATGTGACAGAATTATAGAGAAAACTGCCCTATCACTGTTAGGGTAAATACGGTATACGTGCTGCAGATTTACTTGGATACTTACTTGGATGGCCCGTCCTCACATTGTGCGATCCCCAGCATAATTTCCATTCTTTCGGAGTTTTGCTGGTTTAGCTATTGTGGTTCCCAGAAGTCCTGAGGGGCAAACCTAGGCAAAGTCTGCTCCAGGTCGTCACCGCCACAGGCATTCGCCGCCATTGTGGATAAGAGATTTGCCACCACGCGACTAGTCTGATATCAGGTCGGTGGTGGATTCTGGTATTGGTTTACTCCTAGCTGGGCTTCCTAGTGGAAACGCCAGATTCCTCCTCAGCTTGGGAGACCTTGCCGGGGGATGAATCCCTCCGCTGTACATCGCAGTCCGTCAACTAGGAACACCTCCCAGCTACGATGAGTTGCTAAACCGTTCCACATGTAACATGTCTGTGTATTATATTGCACATTAATTTTACCCTATTGCCGCACATTTAATATTTTCAATTTGGCCACTATGTAACTACATTGATGTCAGAATTTGAAAGTGTTTTCCACCTTTTCGCGCAGCCTATTTTTGCATTCCCACTTTTCCACACGATAATCTTGATTCGTGATAGCGATTGCGATTCGATCGAAGGTGAAATAACAGTAGTAAATTATCAGTCAGATTATCGTTGTGTGCACTGTTCTGAAGGAATACATCTTAACACCTGCAGAGCGTAAAGTGCATCTTTGGTGCTGTTTTGTCTTGTATCACACAAGGAGGTGGAAAAGCGTATAAAAAGTCCTTGGAGTACAACACTTTGACAAAGGGAACAGTGCAGTAGGCTACAGTATGGTGAAATCAGAATAGTTTTTTTTAAAAATTTTTTTTTGTGTAACCCGTCTTCACGTCTGCTGTGCGATTCTCAGCACTTCTCATATTCGATTCGTTTCTTCGCTTCCGTTATCCACGAAGTTCTCCCAACTTCCACCTGTGGCTTTGGCTGCCGCTTGAGGATTTTCATTTCATCTTGAATGGCAGAATGCTGGTCAAGTCGATTCTCCCTGCAGCCCTGAGATAGGCGGGCTGGAGCGTTCCTAATTGCATTGCAGGTAGTGGTTTTTTCCCGGGCAAGTCTGGTACCAATTTCCCAGTCCCGGAAGGATGAGACGCTTGGTTGGCCTGGAGCGTAATTGAACTAGCACAATACTCATGATGACCAACATTACTTCCACTGTGCTATCCGCTCCATAATCGGAATACGAACTAAATTTTGGAAAAATGTGGGAAATTTCAACATTTTTTGCCTTTTTCACACTAATTGATTTCTCCTGGTAAAATACGTTATGTTTTATGCTGAAAGAGAGATGTTCTTGTCTTTCAAATCGTTTGCGTCAGGTTACTGCTCGCGCCATTACTTATTACCTTGATGTCTCCAATGAGTGCACTCGTCGGATAATACAAGTTGATGGTGCAGTTAAAGCGATCTGCAATAGACTTGCAGCTGCTGAGATGACAGACAGGACCAGTAAAGATCTAGGTTCATTTAAACCACATAGTTAATTATTACAACCGTTTCATTCGTATTTATCTTCACAACGTTGTCTTGATGCATTTACAGCTGAGCAATGTGTGAAACTACTGGAGCATATCTGTCAACGAGAGACACTCGCCGTGTACGATGCTGGTGGTATGCATGCTATGCTCACCCTTGTTCGACAACATGGATCCCAAGTCCATAAGGTACTGACCGAATTCCTTGATAATCCGGCTGGCAATATTGTTAGACTTGAATCTTCAACGAAATTTGAGTTTATCCATGCATAGCCATATGTGTATTGATCTATATTACGATCCTGCTGCCTGTTTCTTCAAGAGCATATTGTAGGATACCATGCATTCGGCTATGTCCGTAGTCACTCGGTTGTGTGGAAAAATGGAACCGAATGATGCTGCATTGCTACAATGTGCTGAAAGTCTTGGAGCTTTGCTTGCGCACGAAGATAATAAGGTATTTCAGTTGGCTGGCAGGGTTTCTACTTCTGTTCTAAAGTCTAGTAAGGACACACTTTTAGGTCTCTGAGAGTGCTCTTCGTTGCTTCGCAGCTCTTACTGACCGTTTTATTCGCAAGATGCTAGACCCTGCTGAGTTGGCCACACACAGCAATTTGGTTGAGCACCTGCTAACCACACTGTCTAGTGAAACTGCTACCCATTCTGCCAATTTCATCTCTATTGTCCTGTCGTTGCTCAGTAATCTTTGTCGGGGAAGTGCTGCGGTTACTGAGCAGGTTTTAAGGTGAGTGAAGGCTATAGTTCTTTTGTTGGTGAACATCTTTTTATTTTTTCATTTAGTTCTCCTCGCCTAATTTCGGCTTTACAATGTGTTCTCACCAATAAAGATGACCGTTGTGTCACTGATGGCCTCCGACTAGCCGACTTACTTGTCGTTTTATTAAGCGAGGGTCGATCAGGTCTTCCATTTACAATGGCGGTAGGACGTTACTAACTTAGTTCAGAAGAAGTTTTCGTTATTGGTGTTCATCCTTCTTTCCCTTTAGTATCAATCTAGTGGAGAATCGGGCCAGAGTGGTCAAAGTGCTGAACGTGCGCATCGTCATCTAATTGATGCTATAAGACAGAAGGATCTCAGTGCTCTCGTCGATACAATAGACAATGGCGTTGTACGTTTTGTGATTACTTTTCAAACTTTTGCGTTCCTAAGTAATGAAAGTTTTTGCCTTTTGTCTTCCTACTAGAGGACTTTAAATGTCTTGGCTAGATTTGAATCCTGGGTATCTATACAGATATCTCGGTTTGATAGGTCGATGTTAACTTCACGGACGATGTTGGGCAGACTTTATGCAATTGGGCATCTGCGTTTGGTTCACTGGAAATGGTTCAGTATCTTTGTGATAAGGTATTCGCTATGGAATTTAGTATTTCGTGGCGTGATAAAGCTCTTATATATCATACCACATATTTTAGGGTGCTGATGTCAACAAAGGCCATAAAAGTAGTAGTCTCCATTACGCTGCTTCATTCGGTAGGCCTGATGTAAGTGGTAGCCCTCTTTATCCATAATGTATGGCTAAAATATACAGTGTTTCTCCAGATTGTGAAAGTTTTACTTCAACGAGGAGCGAACCCAGATTTAAGAGACGAGGATGGAAAGACAGCACTCGATAAAGCACGTGAGCGGACAGACGAAGATCATACACAAGTTGCTCAAATACTAGAAAGTCCATCCGTTTATATGCATTCCAGTAAGTTTCGAAATTTATTTCTAAGTTGAAAGCAATCATAAGAAATTATATCCTGGCGTAAGAGAGGTTGATTAACTAAGGTTTTTGACGCAGAGCCTGTCTTTTTCAGAATCAGATGATCAGAATAAGTCCAAAGCGGCATCGGTGGTGCGTAAAAATAGTACGAGTGATCTCCCAGATCGCGAATTAGCGATTCGCGTTCTTCACGAGCTTCTTCCTATCTTTTGCGAGATATTCATGGCAAGTGTTTGCCAGGTTTAATCTTCTACAGTTTGTTATTTAAACATGTTTTATTCCAAACATATCGAAAATCACTTCATGTTATGCTTTCGGTGTCCGTTTAGAAATCTTTATCTGCCAGTGTTCGGCGCACATCGTTGTCACTTCTACGTAAGATCGTTGAGCATATGCAACTGGATGATCTTCGTGTACCATCAAGTCAAGCGAAAGACCTCCAGGGTGGCCTCGTCATTCCTTTAAGTGGAAGTAATATAGTTGTTCTATTACAGTTGCCAAATTTTGGCATTTCTTTGGTAAAAACCCGAGGTGTAAATGCTTTAGGTTGTTCATCTGATATGCAAACGTTAGCTACTGATTTGCCACCTGGTGCGGAGAATTTGGTTTCAGTGGTTGTCTCAGTTCTTGAACAAGAAGAAGATCATGATGGACAGGAGCAAGTTTTACTGGTAAGTTTTTAACCATTCGAAGCGTACGTGTATTTAAGAAAAGTGGTGCGCTAAAGAGAATTTAGATCTTATCTTACCTACTGCGGAAAGATCCGGAATTATGGGTTCCCGAACTTGTTCGGCTGGGTGTTTTTGAACGCGTTGAGGCAATGGCTAAGGAACCGCCAAAAACTTCCGATGTATGTGTTTTCTTGTTTTCGCCTCTTTCTTGGGATCTCTAGTTATTTTTTTCATTTTTAAGGACGACGAGGATATTGGAGACCGAGCAGATGAGCCTAATGTTCGAAGCAGTGCCGTGAGCAGGTAAAGACTTATTTTCTGAACTGTGCATACTAAATTGTTTGATGTTAGGTCAACAACTTCCACACCATCTGTTGCTATGGAGTTAGATGTTGAAAGGAACATCTCTACTGGAATCAGCGAAGAAACTGAGAGAGAACGAGCGGCAATGTTAAATGTGATGATGGAGGTATTACGCATATGATGCCTTGTAAATTTTTCACTCAATGATTGTATTTTTTTCGGTGGAAGATATCACCACCACGGAAACGCCTCCTCCAACGGTAGAGATGGTTCCTTCGACAAATACATCATCTTTAACATTAATGGTACCTTCATCTTCAAATGATAAAGGCAAATTACTACTACAGCAAGGTTTGTGTCGTGTAAACTATTGTTATGTTTTAATTTTATTTCTTAGTTCCACTGAACAGTTATTAGTTTAGATATGCCTTATCGCTGGAAAGAGTGGCACATTGTTCGTGGAGACGAATCTACATTCATCTGGTGTGATGTGCTTGCAATAGAGCTAAGGTAGTTTGTTTCAAATATTTATAAGACGGCGGGAAGTATTACATTTTCACATCAAGCTTTAACTTTTTAGCTTCAATAGTAACGGATGGTTCCGTTTCTATATGGATGGAGAGGTTACCACAATGTTTAATAACAGCGTTGCTGAGAGCGTTCCAGAAGTTCGTGCTGATAACAAAAAGAATTTTGTGGCGAGGTGGAGAAGGGCAAGACAGGTTTGGTATGATGACGCCTTACCTGTCAGCATTTTATGTGTACCCAGCATAGGAAAAAAGGTGTGTTTGAAGTTAACCACATTGGTTTATCGTTGTATAGTTCGCCTATAGCAGTTCGCGTTGTGCATTTGATAGTTGTTCAGGTTGAGTTTCCTCGCTGGGAGATGTGGAGTTCTCGGTCTACAGAGCTTACAATAAAGTGCATTAAAAGCGAGGAGCATATAGTTATAAAAGACGAACTTGGTGGTTTTGTTGTGGAAAGCAGTGACAAAACTAAGCACACTCAAATGCCCGAAATTGCGCTTGCTTCGGAATTCCATACAGGTTTGTAGTTGCGGGAGTTACCAACGTTCTTGTTCCTATTTGAAGCGTAAAATTCTAGGTTGGAGTTCACAGGGAGTGACTGCTAGACGATCAAAATTCCGTGGTGAGATTCAGCGACGAAAAGTACAAAAATTAGCATGGGGGCTTTGGAAAAATCATCTTAAGGAAGCACGTGCCAAACCACGTGAAGCGCTTATTGAGTTACAGAGAGCAGCAGTTTGCATTCAGGTACACACTTCATGTTGTACACTTTTCGAAATCGACTTTCACTTAGCCTTTTCATCAATGATCAGTACATTTTTTCAAAGATTGTTTAGTTCATACGAGATTGTTATAAAAGCCGAATAAAAATTGTATAATAACCTTTTACAAACTGGACAATCTAAAAATTTATTGACTATTCATTGTTTTGGAGTAGTTAAAATGTTTGGTCACGCTCTATACTGGTTAATTTTATTAAATCTTAGGATGCCGTCACCACAGCAAATCTTATTGCTGGTATATCTATCAAGAGCAAACATGTGAAGCAGCCTCGTATCGAGAAGGTTCAAGAAGTAGGTGTAGAAAAATCATTAGTTTAGAAAAAAGAAAAAGACTAGTTAGAGTGAATTGTTCGCTCTAACAATTTTAATTTACCTTCGCTTGCGACCCGGCTGTCTTAAGGCGCATCTTCGTTATTTTCAGTTGGTGTCCGCTCTAAAATGCGTGCGTGAGTCAGTGCTGGATGATAGACGACTCTCTACATTTGAATTTTCTGTTTCCGGCATTGTTCCTGCTTTGCATAACTTGCTTTCTTTGGTGGAGCGTCAACCAGGCAGTTATCCAGCTCGAATATTTGGAGAGGTAAATGTTTTAACGTGATTCTGATAAACGGCAGTCAATAGTGGTCGTATCGTATGTTAACAATATTATCAGCGAATGTAATCATGTACCAAAAGTTAGGGTTCTGTGCACATCACACTTAATAGACAATCAGAAGTTAGGCGTTGTAAACCGTGAGCCGCTTCTTAAACTAATGAATAATTTCAACGAGTCTTCGAGAAACTATATGAAATGTTGTTACGTGTTCTAGACATTTTCACATGGAGTGGCTTTGTCCAGCCTGGCAGTGAAGATGGTTTCTGTGCTTGAGTCCACGGAAAGATTTCCGCAGTACCTCTATGATACTCCTGGTGGTTCTGCATTTGGCCTTCAACTTCTGTCACGACGTATTCGTATGAAACTTGAGCATGCAGTGAGCGAACATGACGACAAAAAGCAACTTATTAATCGGTGGGGTTTCTTCCACATAGTATTACCGTTTGTTCTAGATTGTATACGGGAATAGTTTCATTGAAAGCGGTTGTTTATGAGATGATGTTGCTCTGTAATTTGTTTTATTATTGTTTAGAAGCGGCCGCCTTCTTAAGAGTGAGCCATTGACAACTGTTGGTCAGTTGAAGTCCTTCCTTTTGAAGATGGTGGCGAAGCAATGGTATTGATTATTCTGCGAATATTTTTATTATAGGGCTTTCGTTTATCTAGTGATGATGATGTATTGTCTTCGAGGAACTAATTGTAATTATTATTGTGGATGTTTAGGTTCGACCGAGAGCGTGGAAGCTTGAGCTTTGTTAAGGCTATTGAGGAGTCGAAAAAAAGCGGGGATCGCTTGAAATTGATTTACACCAGTGACTTTGATGAACAAGGTTAGTGTTAAAAACAAAAACAAGAGATTGAAATAGAGTGTCGTTGTTATCAGTATTTTTATGTCCGAACAGAATTTGGTGACATTTTAGTGGCGCTTTCCTTTCTACGTGTAACATTGTTTGTAGGGGGCGTAGAACAACCGGTTGCAGTATTTAGGAATTTCTCACAATTTTCTTGTCAATAAAAACAGGACTGATAAGCAAAAATCCAATTTGAAGATGCTCGATTGGTAGTTCTTACATAGTAGCAGTAGAGTAGATGTCATTGTTTTGAAATGAAAATGGAAGTTGTCATATTACTAGTTTGTCACCGGTGTGATATGAAATATAAAAGCTATGAAGAGGGTAATATAGTTCTTGTATTTATTCTGTTGATGCAAGTTCTATCCTGGCTTTACTATGCTGGACCATTACAAATATTCTCATGTTTTAGGCATCATATACTGGTTGGGAACTAATGGTAGAACTGCCTCCGATTGGACCAACCCAGCCTCCATAGGGATTGTTCAGGTTGTTTTATTTTTCGTGTCAGTATTGTTTATATATTAGTGGTCCTACCGTATTAGGTTACATCTTCTGACCAGCGGCAACCATTCGGTAAACCTGAAGATGTTCTTAGCCGCGATGTTAATCCCATCAATTGCCATTCAAGTGATGATAGGTGAGTGGTTTCTTTAGTCCTGTCGTATTTTGAGAGTTAGCGCAAATTGTTTAATTGAGTTGGAAGCTCAGTTTTCTTTCTTCGAAACAAGATTATTGTTACTGTTCACTACTACTCATTGTTTGTGCTTCGGTTATTTTTTCTTTTTTGTTTTACTTTATTATTTCACATTCTGCATGGCCCATCATCACATATCATTGTGCCGATCACAGCACTTCTAGCATTCTATTCGCGTTCCACTGCATCCTCCTTCTACAGTGCTCTTCGAACGTTTCGCTTGTTCCTTTGGCTGATGCTTAAGGACTTCGTGTTCCCTATGAATTTCGTAAAATACTGTTCGAGTCAATTCTCTAAGCCATCTTGGAGATAGTTGGGCTGAGGCGTTGTTACGTGTACTGTAGGAGAGCGTTAGGGAGGGCCCTGGACTAGTGCCTTTGCTTCCTGACCAAAATCATCATTATCGACTACAGTATCCTCCCACTACTTAACGGTTTGGTAATATAAGTTTTTTCTTGTTAAACAAGGGAAACATGTGGCCAATTGTAACATATATCAGGGCTTCCCAGATCAATCCCATTAATGGGTAATTACTGATAGCACTGATAAGTAGAGAACTAGCTGAGAGAAACGTGAAACAAAGGACCCGCATGGTGTGGTGGTGAACGCTTTAGCTCCTGGAAAAGGTAATAGCGTGTTCGATCCCTACCGCAGACACCTGCGGTTCGTAGTTTTGCAGATATCTCAACGTCATTGTGATTATATCAGGTTTGTTCCATTTTACATGCGATCGCTAATAAATGAGGCACAGCTTTCGTTAAACACATTTGATGCAGCTACATATTTTGCGATTGTTTGGTTTGTTGCTCAAAGTTTCCTTCATTTGGGAGAGCAGCACATCACAGATTTATGAGGCGCCGTAAGAGAAATGCTACTCTCCACAGCACGTGTTGTACAAAGACCTGCATTTCGGATAAATTTTTTTTCGCCAATACAGAGACTGTTGTTGGTGAGGAGGATACGAAGATGGCGAGAGTATGAAAGATGCGAAGTGTCCAGAGATGTCTGTTCTTACACCGTTATCACATTCGAGGGCGGTTAATTCCCTCTTATATAAACGGAATAGCAAAAGTGGAGACTATTGAGGCGATCCTTGTTGCCTCTCTGCAACGTTTCCGCCACCTAACATTAGAAGTGGGACATTATCTGTTGTTAACCAATATGTTATTGTTTATCCTGCAAAACATATCAAAGATCTGGTCATTTCAAGGGAATCAACTTGAAGCTCAGTTGGTAGGCTGTTTCATCGTGTTCTTATTTACGAGGACGCTTCTTTTAATAAACGACGATGTTTTCATTTAGGAATGCTAATTTCACAATTGATTTGGGTATTCTTATTTATCCTACTGCTTATACGTTGCGTCATGCCAGAGGGTACGGACGATCTGCTCTTCGGAATTGGCTCCTCCAAGTTAGTTTTTTTAAATGCTACTATCAATGGTGTTTGAGTCGTTGTGTACTTATAGGGTTCCAAAGACAAACAAGTATGGGAAGTCTTAGTTGCTCATTCGGATGACACCAGTCTAGGTGACCCGGGCTCTACAGCGACTTGGCCGATTGAAGACGATCGTAGTAAAGGTATGCTGGACACTAACAGTTTTCAATTGTGCTTGTTACTAATTGCTTTTCGGGTGGTTGTATCACAAATTTCAGGACCTTTCCGTTACTTTCGTATTGCTCAGAATGGAAAAAACTCGTCTGGGCAGACATACTACCTAAGCATCTCTGGTTTCGAAATCTATGGAGAGATTGTTGACGTTATTGTCGACGGTTTTACTCCTCAGAAGGATGATAAAGGCGGTTCTTTTGTATGTTTTTTCTCGATTTTGTAGTAATATTTACCAAAGTTGGTGTTGTGGTATTTTAGGGAAAGTCAAAAATTCCATTGCCATCCTCCTCTCGTAAAGATTCTAATCGGGATGACGTAAGCTCAGTGTTTGTATTTTTGTGAGTTTGTTATGAATTTGGATATTTCAGAGAGTCGAGTCATTAATGCCACAAGGTGCCAACAATAATAAGCTCAGAGCAGGACTCACTGCCGATATGGTTTCAATGATGCACACAAGATCACGGTTAATATCAGATTCTTTTGATTATCCGGAGAACTCAGTATGAAGTCCTCTCTGTTTTGTTTAAAAGCAGCACCGTTACTGATAGTGACATTTATCTTAAAACGTAAAAACAGTCCGGTGGGACAACTCATATAAAAATCAGTTGCTTTTGTATCACGATTTAATGCAACAAGTAGCAGCAGAAATTGATCCATCAAATAAGCTGTTGTACATCAGATATGAATATGTTCGTTCTTAAATAACTCTGTCTTTGAAGCATGAGAGTTGCACGTGCTGGTCGACACGCAGTAGTTGGAACAGATGCACGTGGTATGCGCGTTATTCGAGGTCCTGACTGGTCATGGGACGATCAGGATGGTGGAGGTGAAGGGAAAATCGTTGGTTGCGTAGAAAATGGTTCGTCAACTGTTTATCTGTAGGTCATCCAAAAATTACGGTTTCATCTTATTCAGGCTGGGTAGATGTCATGTGGGATAATGGGTACACAAATTCTTATCGTTTCGGAGCTGATGGACGTTTTGACATACAACGTGTCAGTGGTCGGACATCTCTTACGTCGTCAACTCCAGCCATTTCTGTATTGGAGGCTGTCCGTGCAAAAGGACGAGGTCTAATGGGCAAGTCACGGGAAACCGGTGTTGTACGGGATGGAAGTTCATCACCATTCGCCTCATTCACAGGTTTTACTCCATTCGCCACGAAACCGCGGAAATCTGGAGGTAAAATCTCTGGGTATTTTGCCTTTTATTTAGACATAGCACATAAGCTGAAGTGTTTTTCTATTTGTATAGTTTCGACACCATTGTCGCGGTTTTCGAAGCCAACGACTTCTACATCGAATGCAGTCTCATCAAGCTCATCTAACATTGGTTGGTGGAACTCATTCGATGTAAAATTTCTAGACTGTTCGCGTCTATGGACAGTTTTTTGGACTTTTAGGAAAAAAGTCTATGTCAACGACAAATCTTGTAGAAGATCGGTCGAGAACTGGACCGAGTGTTGCATCAACTGGCCAAGCTGCATCTGCCGAGTCGCTGCAGCATCAAACACAATCACTAGAAAATTTGCTGGCGCGGTATGTTTTTCGTTTTAATATTTATCTATTTAGGGGCGGATAGTATAGTGATAGTGATGTCATTATTACGACCATGGTGTTGGTTCGATTTCGCCTCAGTCCAACCAAGACTATCATCCCTCCGAGGTCGGGAAATGGTTACCGGACTTGTGAAAAATTCGCTCTGCAATCCAATTGGCAACGCTCCAGCCCGGCTATCTCAGGGCTCCAGGGAGAATTGTTCCACTAGGATTCTACGACATTCAAGATGAAATGGAACTCAAGCAGCAACCGAAGCCACATGTAGAAACTTGGAAGGTCTTCGTGGATGATAGATGCGAGGAAACGGATCGAATGTGAGAAGTGCTGGGATCCGCACAGTAGACGTGAAGACGGGTCATACAAAATAAAAAAATTATCCATTTTCCTTGCTTGGAGATAAATAATGCATTTGTGAAGTGTTCTTGAAGCCTTATTGTAGAGCCAATCCGCACAAATTCGGTCGTATAGCTGAAACAATGGAAAGTGGTGCAGAGACTCCTGAGCCATCCCATGAGCCACCAGTTGCAGCTGAAACGGAGGAAAGCGATTCTGCCACCAGGTTTTTAAATCGTGCTTTTCATTGTCTTCAATACTTTTGAAACGTACTTTTGTAGCGCTCTTGGTTCTCATGCCGCACTATCGTTATGCTCATCACAATCTTCTGTTGTTGACGCTACACCTCGAGACGGAGCCACTCCATCCGCACTCCAAGTAGATTCTTCGAAAATGAGCAGGTAGCTGTTTTCAGTGAGCTTTGTTTGGTTCTATATGATTTACATTGAACATTACCTTGAATTTGCAAGTAATTATTGTAGCCTTTCGGTGTCGGCTCCTGACCTTGCGGCGGCTCGACAACGTCAACAGTCAAGTGATACCTTCGAGATGGATAAAACGGTAGAAGAAGATGAAGAGCAGGAAGGCGAGGATGAAGAAGAAGAGGAAAGGTAATGAATTTTCTGGTCACCTTCTGTTGTGATTCACTTTTTAAAAATCTGAACAGTTTCGTTTAGTAATGAAAAAGTTAACTTTGCTGATATGATGGTTGATGCTCTCAATACTCCATCTGAACGGAGTTTGTTTGAGAAGCTCCGAGAGGTGTTCGGCACTGGTATGTTGTCTTCCGTTATGTGAAGCAGCTGATATGCTATTGATAGTACTTGTAGAAGATTCACTGGAGCATCTCATCACATCGTCGTCGAATGCTGAACCAGGTGAAGTGGCAACGCCTTCTACTTCTACACCTACACAAAAGAACGTCAAGAAGGACAAGACATCGCTGAAGCAGAAGTTAGGAAATTATGCAGACGTTCTTAAAGGAATAATGCAAACGGTTAGTGCGCTGACGTTATCCTACTTTCTTCGGAGAATGTTCCCCTACTAGGATGTTCATTTGCAGATGATGGATCCTGGTGGGAACTCCTTGGAGGTAGAGGAATTGCTTGATGAGGTACATGAAATTTATTCGAGAAAAATTTGTTTGCCATTTAAAGGCATTTGTATGGTTGAAAATTGTAAATTGTAAAAACTTGTGTCATAAGTGATTTATCCCTTCGGGTAAGAAAGGTAAATTTGCTGGTTACAGCGTTTAGACTTTTATTTCCTGCCTATCGTTTTTTCATGAAAGTGGTTACAGTAATCGAAAATGGTTTCTGCTGTATAATCCTATGTTTCTGCAGAAATTCGAATTTCTGATTCATCGCTCATTGGCGACATGCCACGTATTGATTCGTAGGACGAAAACAGTGTTGTTTTGAAATTTTCATGCTCAGTGACTATCGAGACTGTTTTCTAAGTGCAAAGTTTGAACAGGTCGCGTCACGGTGAGTGGAGTGAATGCGCGGCTTCACATACGAGGTTGTATTTGCAGTTGCCTCAAGTCATTTCTTAATAAATTATTACTCATGCGATTTTGATCACCAACGGCTTTTTTTTATATTATAGACAATTTTGTGTTTTGGTAGAACTCAAGTCATGGACGTAGGTTTTACTTTATGTTTCTTATATTCTTATGGTTTTGTAAAGGATGACTATTATGACGACGAGGAAGGTAATGAAGAAGACATTGAGGATGACTTGAATGCGCTCGGCGTTCCTGTTGACTCACTTACTACAGTGCTTACGGGTAGAGGAGGTGAAGGCTTCAAGCTGAACTGGCGACAGGTTGGAGAGAAAAGCATTTCTTTCATTTATGAAGGAAGTTAAAGCTTTCGTTTCTTATGCTTCAAATCTAACAGTTCTCTCAGCTGATGAGTGGAACACTAGAGTCGCGCAACCGTGATCAACGTGGGAGTGGGAAAAGCAATTTCCGCTCTTGGGATGATGAGCTAGTGTTGAAATGTTCGTTCCAGGTATGGGAATGTTTTTGGTCTATTCGTAGGAGGAATGTCTGCTATTGTAGAACTAAACACAATTCGTTTAGGCATTAATCCCAGCTTTTGACCCACGACCTGGTCGCACAAATGTGAACCAAACACAGGACGTTGAGCTTCCTTCAGTCGTTCCAGATCCTACCCAGGCAAAACCTGTTTCGGTGAGTGGATCATCGTAATTTATGCAAACAAACAAGAGAAAACTTCGCGTTTTTCGCAGACCGATGAAGCGTCTTTGCGTCTATTTCTTCGAGGGCCCAACATGAGCGGAATTGAGAATGTTACCATTGAGATGGCCGCTGATGATCATAGTCTCTTCTATTATGCACAAGCTTTAGTTGGTGCAATTGATTGGGGAGCAGTGAGTCCGTTGGTGGAGTTTTCCGGTGTATTTTTATAGATGTAAGTCCCATAATTTCTTCTAGAAATGTGAGCGCAGTCGTCGTGTGTGGGAGCCTACATACAACTTAATTTACGAGGACGCTTCTCTGCCATACGTTACAAAGTTTAGCCCTATCTCCTCAGATGACAGCAAAGTGCCTCCTGCTGTGAATGAAGTAATTTCGTTAAATTATATATCATGAGGTTTAGCATACCCATGAGTATTTATTTAGTGCTTGGAAGTCATCGGTTTGTTGTCTCGTATTGGCGAACGGTTCCCAGATGCACAAATCAGCCCTCAGGTTTTTATTAGCGACAAGTTGACACTTAAACTTACTCAGGTATTTCTAGTAAATCTATTACATTATGCTCTTTTGTAAAATTCTATTTCGTTGTTCAAAGTTCAGCTTTGAAGGTTTCTGTGTTCGAAATAAATTTGTCCATCTACAATTCTGGGTTGTGTAGTCAAAATGTTTTTAACACTGTTTGCTTTATGTTCACTTAGTTTAATATTTGATCCGCTTTTCTTTACCGTTGCTAGGGAAATGTGACGTCTTTGGTTGTTGCTTTAATCCAAAAACCCTGCATATAAGTCGAAACAGAGTTAGTTTTCCAGCTTTATTTGGGATTTGGCGAAAGGCGTTTTGAAAAGAAATTGTTTAATGGAAGGGTAGAAATATAGTTGGAGGTCAAATCTAAAATTTTGAAGTGATGTAGTGACGAATCTGTTGTGCATGGAAAAGTTTTTTTAAGGAGCTATCTGATGCTCTTGTTGTTGCTGCAAGAGCCATGCCAGATTGGTGCGAGCGTCTTATATATGGCTATCCCTGTCTTTTCTCTGCCGAGACCAAGTGAGTAAGACTTTCGAAGTCACATACAAGTAAATTCTCTGTTTTGTTTTTTCTAGGAATATGTACATGCAAGCAACTGCATTTGGAGTATCGCGAACCATTGTTTGGTTACAATCTCGCCGAGACGCGGCTTTGGATCGAGCTCGTGGTGCCGCCCAGAGCACTACGAGCAGTGCAGCTAGACCTCATGACCGCTATCAAGAGTACCGCGTAGGCCGGCTGAAGCACGAGCGAATAAAGGTTTTTAGATCTAGATATTCAATGTCTATTTGTTTTTAAATCTAAATAGGTCAACAATTAACAAAACAAAAAACAATTACTAGTCTGATATTGACTATCGACTTCAATTTTTTCAGGTTACTAGGTCGGAAGAACATCTTCTAGAGCAGGCTGTTCGTGTTATGAGGTTCCATGCTGATCGTAAAGCTGTGCTTGAGATAGAGTATGTTGGTGAAGAAGGCACTGGTCTCGGACCAACTCTGGAGTTCTACGCTTTGGTAATCCTGTAAATTTTACAAAAATTTACCACACTGCTAATTTTTCCCAAGTTAGGTTGCCGCTGAATTGCAAAGAAAAGCGTTAGCAATCTGGTTGTGTGATGACATGGATGAGCACCAGTTGAAAATGGAGGAACGTGAGCTTGACTTGGGCGAAGGAAAGAAACCTCCAGGGTTTGGTTTATTTTTTTAAAGCTTTGTATCTGTTACAGTGCAACTCCTGAGATCTTAGATTCTATTAATCGTTTTCTCTCTCAGCAATTGCGATGTTGTTAAACAGCATATGTTTACTTTCATACAGTAACACACAACACAATCGTAGCTGAGCTTTCGGCAGAATCGCCTTCTTCAGATCCTGGAAGGGTACACTAGTAATACTAATATCGTGCAGATCTTTCTGTTTGTGCTATTGAAGCGTTTGACCTAGTAAGTTGCGTATTAGTGCACCCTTCCACACTCTGAAGAAGGCGATTCTGCTGAAACATCAGCTACGATTGTGTTGTATGTGTGTTGTTGTATGGAAGTAAACATATGGTGTTTAACAACCTGGCGATTGCTGAGAAAACGACGAATTCATAATTCAATGTCGAGGTTAATGGAAAGTCGATCCTGGGTACTATTTAGATTCTATGTTCGTCGCGCAGGAGGTTTATTCCCTGCTCCTCTACCTCCGCATACTGACGAGGTTCGTCGAGCGTCGGAAATGTTCCGAGTACTCGGCATTTTCCTTGCAAAGGTGCTAGTTAATTCACTTTTGTTTAACTTTTCCCTAGTTTAGTTAGGTTATACTTACGCTGTCAATACCATTTTGAGTACTCCTTAACGTTTTAGGTCCTGCAAGACGGAAGACTAGTTGATCTGCCATTGGCGCGCCCATTCTTGAAATTAATAGTTTCCCCACATCTAAGTGAAGCTGAAGAACCTTCACTTGACCGAGTGCTTTCATTAGATGATTTTGAAGAAGTACATCCAGTCAAAGGTGAATACTACTTGTTATCGGCATTGTTTACTTTCTGCTGTTCATCACTACTTTTAAAATTTTTCTTTATCAAAGCTAATTCTTTCAAGGAGGATTTCTGAAAGAATTGCGAGCGTTAGCTCAGAGAAAGCGAGCAATCGAGAATGAGCCTATGTTGGATCGCGAAGCTAAGAGGAGAAAAATTGACGAATTAAAATTGTGCATTCATGGCACTCGTTGCCGCGTTGAAGATCTCGCTCTGAACTTCACGTATTGTTTACAACTTTTTCTTGGGCAATCTATGTTTCGTTTGTTTCTTAGCCTTTTTCAAAAATCATGTTTTTAGTGTAATGCCACACTATTTCAGAGTTAACCCACCGTCTTCGGTGTTCGATTATGAAGAAATGGAGTTGGTTGAAGGGGGCGCGGACATGGATGTTACTATGGATAATGTAGAGCTTTATGTACAGAAATGTGCCGACTTTTATCTAAATACGGGAATTATCAACCAAGTATGTTTGGAGTAATATGTTAGTCTTTATTACCTCGAGTAGATTCAATTCGCTTTTTTTCATCTCAGATGCGTGCATTCCGCGATGGCTTCGATCGCGTTTTTGGTCTCCGTGCGCTTCGCTCCTATAGCCCCGAAGAAGTCCAGGTTCCTCCTACTGCCATACGGCGTAATGCACTATTTTATTCCATTTCATTCATACCTATGTCTTAGCGGCTCCTGTCCGGTGAGCAATGCCCAGAATGGACACGCGAGGACGTTTTGAATTACACGGAACCTAAACTGGGCTATACCAAAGACTCGCCTGGCTTCCTTCGATTTGTTGACGTAATGGTTGAACTCAATCCACAGGAACGCAAGAACTTCCTTCAGTTTGCCACAGGCTGCTCAAGTTTACCACCTGGTGGGTATCTAAAATCGTAGATGATGTGATTTCTGTTAGCATTCCAATGTTTTCGATGATGTTGTAGGCGGACTTGCTAACCTTCATCCTCGTTTGACGGTTGTGCGGAAAGTAGAAAGTGGTGATGGAAGCTATCCATCTGTAAGGCGACATGCTCTCTAAATTTTCGAGATTACTGTTCTCTTATATGTAGCAATATGGAAGTGTTTAAGGTGAATACCTGCGTGCATTACCTCAAACTTCCGGAGTACTCATCAGCTGAGATATTGCGGGAGCGTCTTCTGACTGCTGTCAACGAGAAGGGGTTTCATCTAAATTAGGATATCACATTTTCCTCATTGAAAACTTGTGGTGTAACCAAATTAGGATTTTTTTTGTGTTGAAATGTGATTAAAACATAGCTCAATCATGCAAGTTATATTTACATCTTCCCTTCTACAGATAGGTAACTAAATCGTCCAATGGGTACGTTGTTGTTTTCTTCAATGTATTTCTCTTATGGCGATCGTTTTGTAGATGCAGGCATTCTGGCTAAAATTACTTGATTTTGAGATTGCACCCAGTGTCCCACTAGTCCTTGAATCAAATCTGATCGCCGGTGCGAGGTGGCATTGACGTCGAAGTTTTATTCCAGTGATGGTGTTTGAGGCCACAATATTCTCGGTTTAGTTAGAATTGCCTTGGTCTTCTCTTGTTTTTGGGGCAAGGAAGAGTTTACTTAAGTTTTTCATCACGTCTATTGAATGTGTATGTGGTTCTCTTTCCCACTCGTAAACTTTTTTGTGTATTGTGTTTGATGTGTTGCAACCGGGATATCCGTTCCAGTTTGTGTTCTACAATTTCGCGAAATTGAAAAAATTCAAGGATTGTGCAGTGTGCAAAGTAGTATGCTGCTTGCATACTTCAACTTTATTTTCGGGAATTCTGTTGCAGTGTCAGGGAGTTCTGCAATAATCGGATATAGGTATGGCAATTCCCACGGTGGTGAGAGATACCCAACTCATAGGGAAGTATCTTTTTGACCATACATCATGTGTTCGCAATGAAATCGACCGATTTCTTGAGAGGTGAATCAATCTCGTATTCTGTGTTGGTAGGATACGTACGATTAGCGTTTTATAGATTCGAGAAAAATGAAAGACATAGGGAATTCGACGGTATCTTGCGAGCAAGCCACGCAGTAAGTGTTAGGAATTCTATTCTTGAATGCAGGACTTGCATCATTTTTTTGTAAATGCTACTTTGAGGATGCGTTGCGGTAATTTCCAAACGATGAAGTTATCTATGGATAAAGTTACAGTGAGTATAAACATGTTTAGCTTATCGAAGCTACAGAGACACCTGTTGAGGCTCTGTTTAACACGGGAAAAGTGGAAATGTTAACAAGTGATGTTAACGAGCTGACGGCAAGGATTCGGAAACTCTGTCAACCAACGTATGCCAGTGTAGGTCTTTTACCTGGGAATTGAGTCGGTTTGGTGCATGAAAAATATTAGAACTGGGCGCTTGTATTATAAAGGGGAAGAAATTGTTGGTTCCAGGAGCATGCTGAGTATTTGTCTGATGTTAGTAAAAACCAGAAAGAGCGTTTGGACCTACATCGTTTGGAGATCCATGAAAATCTGAGAAATTGTGGTAGCCAATCGGAGTGATCAACATTTTTAGCTCATTCTTAGAGAACCAAAGTTGTATTGCATCATTGTAGTTTAAACTGAAAGAAACTCTGTTCTTCTGACAAGTGCGACATCTGAGTTTACTTATTTTGACTTTGAGTTTTAAGTTAAGGTGTTCTACAGTATATTTTGTCATGAAGCAGTTTTATACCGTTCCGTGTCGAAATGTGGAATCTGACAGTCTGATGAATTCTTTGAATTTTACGATAAAGACCACTTTTTAGAGAATGATCCTACTTGCGCTAGTTACCTCAATAGATCACCGGAGAGATGGTTCTTCGCTTGTGTTGCAAATCCACTGTATTCTTAGAATGCTCACAACGAATTTCACAAATCGTTGGAATAGTGAGCGAACTATTACAGGATAGCGTAGCTGATTATGAATCATTTTGTTTAATGCTGCAGTCTAACAAGTTGTGGAAACAAGGTCGATGTTTGAGTGTGAGTAGGCCACTCTTAAATTAATGTTTGTACTACTCTTACATAAGTGGGTTGAGTAACGAACATATGGACCCTAATGATGTTTTGAAGAAATGTGATCTTTTCAAAGAGTCTATGAATTTTCTGGAGATGAAATAAAAAGGATGAAGCATTCGGTGTTGAACAAACCTGGGAGTGCGCTATGCATTCGACTTCGTCAGGCATCGTAGAGCTGTGATTGATTGCCTATCTGGTCTAAACAATGAGTTCTAGTGGGATAATGAAATGAATGTTGCAATGCTTCCAGAAAAGTACCAATTTGCTGATCCTAGAGGGAGGATGGCTTTAGTAATTCCAGGGGGTCGGATCAAACCGACGATGGGTCCACTGTGTATTGAAGGGTACCTCTGACCACCACGACACACACACGTAGAGGTAATATTGCTTTGATGGTTGGAACTCATGTTTAGGTCGCGTCTTTGCGAATTTGTTAAATACGTAAATAGTGAATTTCTTCACGTTGTACGCGTTCCACTGCTGTTCGATTCGGCACGAAACCGTCAAACAGAGAATTCGCATGTGAGGTTCGCATGTGCTTCGTAGCGGAGTCGGGCTACAGTAGGCAGAAAGACGGGTGCTGGAAACATTGCTCAAGCCTTGCGATCTGATAAGGCGATGTTCAAAGCCTAGGACCGTAAGTGCGGATATTTTACGAGATAGGCGCCAGCGAAATGTTAGACATACGGCTATCAGATCGTCATGGAGAAAAGGTCATGGGAGAAGCATTTGAAATGTTTGGAAAGGTTATAATTGATTTACATAGAGAACATTCCAATATTCGTGAAGAATGTTCTCTATATATGTTTTCCTATAGTTCACTATGAAACAGCACTCCTACCATCATCTGGAGTTATTGTGTAACATTTTTTGAGTGTATTTTGATGTTTTCTATACTTGCCTGTTCCGTCCGATTACCATGATTTACTTTAACAATTGGAATTGAAGTAGCAGCCTATCAGTTGTCAACGATTGAACTTTATATGTCTCACTTAATGGGCGGTTTTGTTCGCTCGATAACACTCGATAGTTTTTCGATGACTGGAGTGTTGTTGGTGTCCATTAACAGGACATATTCGTCCTATGCGAACAACATCCTGCTGGTATCACTGATATCGATCCTCGAGCCAGAAGCTGGCGCTTTTTTTTTGCGAGCTGTTGAAATTTTTTTGACAACTAGAAAACTTGAGAGGAGATTGTGGAAGAGACTCTACCTTATATATTTAAGGGTAAGTATGGTCTTTAAAATTGTTACTTCTTTCTTGAATCTGTTAAGAACTAAAATTTCCAAAGGAGGTGAGAACGAATTCAAGCTTTTGAAATACTGAGTGAAACCTGGACAGCCATGTGCATCAACAACATGTGGATATACGACTGCACGGGAGAAAGTGCATAAAATGCGTTTTCAAGGTCCAGAGAATTAGAACTCCATCTTGATAGCATAAAAGAGGTTTTTTGCTTTAGGTATTTATGCAATTAATTCATTTTGAGCTGAGATATGCTGGTTTAAACTTGGAAGAGGCTGTTATTTCAGCACCGTTTGAGTGGGGTTCAACCTACGTTAGACCTTAAGCGTTAGGAACAAAAAGGGCCTCGAGGATCTATTGCTCTAGATCTATTCTTAACGACTACATGTTACTATTGGAAAATCAGAAATCATCTATTTTCTAATCACAGTGGTTTTTGAGATTTTTTATGAGTTTTAAGTTTACAGGAATCAATTTCGTAGTCCTGGACCATAATATGAGTGAACAGTTTAACACCAATTTCTCACCGATGGCGAGGATGAAGAAAACGGAAACGCAGGGGAAAATACAAAATCTCTTGTCCTCTTCATCATCAAAAAGTACGAAAGAAGTGAATTGTGATAAGTGGAATGATGGTGATGGTGTTTGTGGTGACCGGCTTAAAAAATTAATTTCACGTAATCACTAGGTCTTCGACCACGGTTAATCAGGACGACTTTTTCCTTCGATGAAGGTAGATTCCTTTAAATGATTTATGAGGAATATGTGAAAGGTTATTGCGAACAAGTCAACAGATACTAACTACAAAGAGATTTGCTGTGCACCGGCGAGGGTTGACGTGATAGAAATATCCATCTTTCTCTGTCTTACAATAGGAATGCTACAGCTGAGGGATTATTCAATTTCGAATTCTGCCCTTGCCCACCATCCCATTATTTCTCATTTTATGGCAAGAGATAGATTTGAAATCTGCTAGCCAACCACCATTTTGCCCATAACGCGATATATGACCGACGATATGGGTGATGCAAGATTAAATATCTAGTGAAGCTTGTGAGTAGGAATGCCAGCGGAAAACGCAGAACTGAAATGCTGGTACTGAAGAATGTGTCGTCCTGCTAAGAGGTAGAATCGCCTTTCGCCAGCATATTCCACATAAGAGACAAAGCTACGGAGTCAAGTTATTCAAACTGTGCTCGAGAGGTGGCTATCCATACCCTCGTAGGATCTCCCAAGCTGAGACGGAGTCCGGCATTTCCATCAGAAAACCTAGCTAAGAGTAAACCAAAATCAGGATCGACTACCGTCCTGGTATCGAAGTCGCATGGCGGCAATGGAAAATTTCCCTCAGATCCACAACGGCTGCGACTGCTTGTGGTGGTGAAGACCTGGGGCAGACTTTGGCCAGGCTGACCTCGGGATTTCAGGGAACCACAATGGCTTAACCAGGAACTTCGAAAAATGGAGATTACACTGGGGCTCGCACAATCATTGAGACGGGCCATTCAATCATCAAGTATCAGTATACATATGCACACATATGTAGACATATATTTGTATGTTTATATAAGTATATATATAAGTATGCATATACGCATACATATATGTATATATATATATGCGTATACATATACGTATACACATGTGTATATATATGTATATATATGTATGGCATGTGTTTATATACTTGACTAGACATTTGGATGTGTGGTCTTCTCTGTAGAACTCCAAGTCTGTATAGAACGCTTCGACTTCGTCTTTGTCATATCTTGATGTCGGTACTTAGACGACGAAGACTGTCCAAGTCGGTATTGATCCACATTTGTTCAACCGCTGACGTCCAGTTCCGATTGCTAGTTGGTGTATGGAGGCCTCTTTCTGGGTTGGGCAAATGAGGGTCGTTTATTTTACTGTGTTTGGTTCTTGATACCCACGCGTAGCTTGCTGAGTTCTAAATACGACCGAGTTGGTGTACTCACGACTAGGTTGCCAGTCCGTCCCATAGCAGACAGATGATATTTATCAGATGTTCGGCTTCTACACAGTCCTTGAGCGCTCGATCATTTTTTCACTCCTACATTCATTTTTAATTTCGGTTTTAACATCGTCTCGGAATCAACTAGTAAGAAGATGGAATGAACCAATAATTGCCGAGGAGATACATCTCTCGTACCGACATCGTGTTCACCTGTGTCACCTTTCACCTGTAGTCCCGTTGATCGTCGAGTGACTCGAGCGGGCGCCAGTAAATCTTCTATTTTTCCTTGTCGGGTGTAAGAGCAGCCCAATGGGTTTTGCTCGCTCTAGGAACTCGTCGAGCATCATATCTTTCTTCAAGTCACTTTGTGAAGAACTCTGACCACCGGGTCGGTGGTCCTCCTGCAGTACGTTTGACATACCAAGGAATCCAGTCACTAACAGCTCTTGTCTATCGCTTGTCATTCATACGCATTAGGTGTCCGCCCAACCTCATCTTCTACTGTTTGGCGTACATAACGGGGTCTCTGATTTTTGATCGCTGACGCAGGTTGGAGCTTCGGATCCCATCTCTTACTTGTGTGAAACGCAAATTAGAATATCTACCTACTAGTAATGGTCATTTATAGATCTCCTTGCTGAGGTCGTATTGATTGAGCGATGCAGCCAGTTAGACCGAAAGAAGGACTGCACTCAGTGGGTAACGGTTGGCTTCTGTCATCTACACTAACTAATTTCACATCTAATGCATGATGGTCAGCTATTCGATCAACAATAGACAGTTGTTATATGCGGACATTTCTTAAGTAGTTCACACTTATGGTTGTGAGACATTCATCAATTAAAGCACTGAAGACATGAATCTCTAGCGTGTTGCAAATAGCGTAGCGTTTTTACAGCAGTGCACATTTTGGAGATATTAGTGCCAACAGACTATGCGAAAAGCCACTGGAATGTTCTAATTACCTACCGAGCTACTTTCGCCACTACCGAGTTTCCTTGTCCTGCGATGTTTAATTCCTTCAATAGTGATAATCTCGTCAATTACACTCTGAATTTAAAACTGTTTAGCAAAGATTTTGCTTCTATGAAGTA